CAAGTTTGACACGAACCTCTTTACCAACCTAGTGTGCTACGATCTCATCACACCAGTCATTAGAGCCCTGGAGATATGATAGCATATTCCCCAGCAGATGTGATCATATCATTTCCATTTACCAGTACCATATGAATCATGTTACCATTAAAATAAATGAATGCAGCAAAGTGGGTGATCCTGGCAGTCAGGCTGGTTAGGTTCATCATCAGATAAGTAGCCTTGTCCCCTTCACACGCAGCAGACAGCGACTTGGACCACTCCCAGGAAGCACTGCCATTTCTAACCTATCAGGGACTCTTCCTAGAATATGTAAATGTTCAAAACTGTAGCCTCCTGCAATATCCAGACTGTCAGAAGGACTGTGTTCCAGACAGAAAACCTTGGTACTCTTCCAGCATAAATCAACAGATTGGGGGGTACCCACTCTAAGACACCCAGAACAATGAGGTGTCGAACAGCGTGGTGCTTGGGGTGCAATAGTGACGTTTCGTAAGCAAGGTCCGCACATATGGCATCTTTTTCCTGAATCTTGTCAAATCAATTTGTGTCAAAAGAATCGAAAGATTTTAGTTATATATATACTTTCATTGGTTTTATAAACGAGAAGTTCATGTTTGTTGACCTCGATACCCGTGGAATGTTTCCATCATGAGATGATTATTATCATTACTGAGAAGTAGCAATTGTTTGTACATATACCTTGTCAACTATATAGTTTGACGCATATATTTGCTGCACCGCCGTGCACCCATACCGCCAGCTGGACATGAGATACACACCACACGTAGATGAATTATACATTGTTCAGAATGTCGTATAAACAGATGGTGCCTGCTGATGCCAGATAATTCCGGTGAGCATTATGGTCTGGAAACGTGTGTTAATAACACGACAGACTATGTATATGATGAAGGCATCTATGAGGTGATGCGTGTCACTGCAATCGACCCTAAAGCTTCAGTTGTCCACAGGAGCTTTACACAACGGACATATATCCTGACTGTTCATATCGATGTTATTGCTACAGGATGTCATAAGCCGTTTGGAAGACGTAAATTTTCAACTTTCGTCGAAATGATGCTGGCTTTGCTAATGGGGACAATAGGGTAGCCTAGTGGTTAAAGCGGACGCTCGTCACGCCGAAGACCCGGGTCGATTTCCCACATGGGTACAATGTATGAAGCTCTTTTCTGGTGTCCCCCGCCGTGATATTGCTGGAATATTGCTAAAGGAGTAAAACTAAACTCTCACTCGCTCGCTTTGTAATGATTTCATGTGTCCTCGAAGGGAGTTCCAGACAGATAGATGCTAAAAGTTTATAGGCTTTTGCAGAAGTTCTTTACCTTGTGAACGCACAACCCTGTTTACTTTCGGTTGATGAACTAGGGTATGAAGATATGCAGAGTCTGTGTTGAGGAAACTGCTGACCTGGACTCATCTGATTGTTTGGGCGTCCCATTATGGATTCTGGCTGTATTGTGTAGAGGCTGCAGTTAGTGAAGTTGATGGTGTACAGTACAAGAGAGAGTAATCAAGTAAAGTAAAGTGACTGTGCGGGCATATTGATCACTCCTGGAGAGACGTACGGACGCATAGCCTTCCAAACTGAGCAAGATAGAAACACCCCGTCTTGCACAATGCTGCTTCCTGTTTCCGCATAAAGCGTTGGAGTCGAAAGACCTTTTACTTGTGCAGAAGACGTGATGTTGACTTCACCTGTCTCACCTGGGATTTTGATTTCACCCGCGAATCTCACATGTGATGTTGATTTCACACATCCGTCCAACCTGTGATGTTGATTTCACACATCTGTCTCACCTGTGATGTTGATTTCACACACCTGTCTCATCTGTGATGTTGATTTCACACATCTGTCTCATCTGTGATGTTGATTTCACACACCTGTCTCACCCGTGATGTTGATTTCACACACCTGTCTCACCCGTGATGTTGATTTCACACATCTGTCTCATCTGTGATGTTGATTTCACACACCTGTCTCACCTGTGATGTTGATTTCACATACCAGTCTCACCCGTGATGTTGATTTCACACATCTGTCTCATCTGTGATGTTGATTTCACACACCTGTCTCACCTGTGATGTTGATTTCACATACCAGTCTCACCCGTGATGTTGATTTCACACACCTGTCTCATCTGTGATGTTGATTTCACACACCTGTCTCACCTGTGATGTTGATTTCATACACCAGTCTCAACTGTGATGTTGATTTCACATACCTGTCTCATCTGTGATGTTGATTTCATACACCAGTCTCACCTGTGATGTTGATTTCATACACCAGTCTCATCTGTGGTGTTGATTTCACACACCTGTCTCATCTGTGAGACTACATTTTGATGATGAATGGATGGATAGGGGACATTTTGGTGTATGTATTTACTGGCCATTATATCTGTGCCATATTTTAAAAATGAAACAATATATATACACATATCAGAGTAAAAAAACAATCCCTTTCCATGCCGGTAGGAAACTCATGTCCATAACTTCTTTTTAATTTCAAAATTTTGCTGTTCTGTAAACCACCCTAAAGTCTAACCTTGTCACATTCTTTACCATAGTTAGCTCTTCGTCACGAACAGTATGTTGGATCATATGTGGAAACCAATGCTGTGAATGGGTTGCGTAATGCTGGAACGAACACCGTCCATATGCATTGTGGAGATGTTTTCTCACAATCAGAGATCACTATTCATGTTCTGGTGACCAGTTACAGCTTGTTCGGGTACAATGACGCTAGGTATTGAACCGATCGAGTAACTGTAGAAATATTGATCATTTGAAACCGTCGTTAACCACTTGCACAATGTTGTCATCTATTCTGGATCATTGCTGTTGACCGTCAGATACAAACTAGCGCATGCAATAGATACAAATAAAATCGTGTACAGGCCTGAAACTTTCACTTGAACATAACGAAACAAGCGACGATCCAAATAACATAACCTTCTGTTGTAAACGACTATGTTGAGGGCAAGAGATAACTCCGCAAAACATATCCTTGTTGGACACCGGTCTCATATAAGCCGTTAAATTCGACCTCTGTGTGAAAACACCCGCTGTTATTTTCTTTGCAATGTATGTCCTCCGTTCCTGCAGTGTCATATTGAAATTTTATTTGAAATGTACAAAAAACCAACTTGTTGAGACAAAAGCTACACAATGATACAAGAGAAATCAGGAGGCAGAATTCGTTCTCCTCAAAGTGGGGTTCCAGTGAGCTTTGGGTGTGATTGTTTTGTAGCATTATTCCATTATTATATCACAGGGTGTCAGCTTATATGGGCCAAAAAAACATATTGTTTAGACCTTTACAACAATTTGATTGTTTGGGATTTTTTGGTTTAACGCCACACTCAGTAATATTCCAGCTATATGACAGAGATCTGTAAAGAATCGAGTCTGGGCAGAAAACCCAGTGATCAACAGATTGAGAATCGATCTACGCAGTTTGGACTTGATGACATGTGTCAACCATATCAGCGTGCATGACCACCCGATCCTGTTAGTCGCCTTTTACGAAAAGCATGGGTTACTGAAGACCAGTTCTAACCCGCGTCCTCACAGGTCCACCATTTTGGCGACAAAACCAGGATCATAATCAAAGTTACTGTTGGATTCAAAGCTACAAACAAGGTCCTGACACATGTACTTGTGAACTGACGCCCTACGCTACTGGGATATACATTAGCATCGGTACGGAAGTTTCATCTGTCGCACCATATCCGGGGATTTCACCAATACGACAAACGCTCGTTACCGACAGATCGGGGTTTCTTCTTCTTACAAACGAGGTGACTTGAAACACTGACAGAAATCGTAACGAAAATTGCATATTCAAGTATTGGAATTCTCCTTCAGGGTGCATGAGTAATGTAACATCTGGCCGTATAGGCGACGTTCGTCAACGGTATTAAGATCGATGGATCATTAACCAGTAAATATAAACCACGTCCACGGGTTTCTGGGTTATTCTCTCCAGATACAATCAATAGATGTGTTCGGGTTACAGTGAGGTTATATCATACACGTACGTGAACGGACAACACATAGACATTTCGACGCTTGCACGTTTAGCCTACAGTCTATATATTCAGAGACTAAGCATTAGTCTACTCTAAATATACTCATGGGTTCTGGGGCCTGATCCACAAAGCGTTCGTAACGTTACGACCTGTCGTAACTCTTTAGTTTAGTATAGACTTACGAGTGTCGTAGCGCCACGAACGTTTTGTGGATCGGGGCCCTGACCGGATTCAGTTAGTACAAAAATGAGGGTACAAGCCTCATTTGCTTTGCTCTACTCTTGAGGGTGGGTTTTCAATATGTTTAAAGCAAAAATAAAATTTAATCGTAAAACGAGTATCGTTTCAAATACCACAGGTTGTAAATCAGCATACGTGATATTTTGCGCGGTTGGAATTCACCTAGCATTGGCCTGGGCAAGATTGTTGCAGTTATTATTCTCACATGGAAAACAGTCAACTGCCTTCACCCCGGACACACACCGAAAGCATGAGGGCTATCAATAAAATACGACATATGTCAATACAGTACTTCCTAAGTTGAATAGATGAATTAAATATGCATGATAGCTGCTAACGGGCGACGTGCAGTTTCTGCTTCGTGTCTGCAGGACGTGGAGTGTGATTGACTACGATAACCGATACAGCCTGGCCGTATTGTGCAACTTGTGGCCGTCTTTAATAGCTTTATATAATCACATATGTTTTTGCCAATTGGTCATAATTAACATTGTGAGTGTAGCGCAGATATGTTTGCTTCGGGGTATTTTAGAGTAGGGCCTCCAGCTGGACTACGTCTTCTAGCAGACTGACGATGGGGCAGGTTACCATGGAGTTAAGGTGGCATTATCAGATACGCTCATGTGTGGCCCTGGTTGACAGCAAAACACACTCTGATAGCGTCAGTTATCTGTAGGGATAAACATCTGGGCCAAGATCGTCCCAAGTCTGTTGGTACCTGACGGACGTGGCAACTTCACTCTTACTTGTGACTGTCCACTGTCGGGATTGCAGCCCATTGGATCCCATTTTTCGAGGCCTTGCATTCACATTGCGTGGTAAGATCTTAGCAAAAGATCATGCTTTCACATTTTCTTCTCATCCATGTTGGTTGTCCTTAAGGGAGATGAGGGGTGAGATGGGGCCGAGAGGAAGGGATTTCTTAAATTGTTGCGGTGTTTACTTATCCAGCTAGTTTGTTGGTGGTAGAAATTAAACTAGATTTTAGTTCATTCAGTACAACGTTACATACTTAGATTTATTAGCTGTCATGTTTGATAAGGAGATTATGGAACAATATATTTATTTCTCTTTGTTAGTTATGTGGTATAAACATTGCCACCTTATAATGTCTTATGTCTTTTTAATCAAATTAGATCGCCAACTCTGTTACTAGGGTTAATAGGATCCCCCTTTTAATCACGGCTTTCATAGCAATACCTCTGTCGGGGGTCAGTAAATTGTCAATCATTTTGCATGAGTGGACACCATCTGGGTCATTGGGGGTGGAGGTGGGGGGTGGGCGATTGCGCAACAGTAAACCGACGCAGGTACCAGGTCTCCGAGCCGCACGCATACCTAGCCAGGCACAGTTTATACAAAGCTGGGTTTGCTATGCACTAGAGAATGGATTTAACAATTGTTTCATTCGGAAGTAAAATGTAAATTATAGAACAAATATTGGTCTAACCTGTCTAAGGGCGGTGCAAATCAACATTAATGATTCAGCAGTATAGTGCGGTCGAACGGCCGTTGTGGGTCGGATCAATGGAAGAAGTCAACGAAGATTGCAGGAAAGCTCCCATAGGACTGCTTTATTATCATGGAAACTGTAAGCAGAACGTGGACTGATGGACTACGGAAGAATGAGGATTAATACCACGCAGGTGGTGTGCTACACCGTTACAGGAATGCTGTCTCCAAGGTCCACCACAGCTTCACATTATTATTACAGTTACTGTCCAAAGATCCCCCATAAACGATTCGTTGATATATTTACTCTAACGACCGTATATATTGCTGTATACGTAACGACCGTGTGTATTGCTGTATACATAACGACCGCGTGTATTGCTGTATACATAACGACCGTGTGTATTGCTGTATATATAACGACCGTGTGTATTGCTGTTTACGTAACGACCGTGTGTATTGCTGTATACATAACGACCGTGTGTATTGCTGTATATATAACGACTGTGTGTATTGCTGTATACGTAACGACCGTGTGTATTGCTGTATATATAACGACCGTGTGTATTGCTGTCTACGTAACGACCATGTGTAGTTGTATTGCTGTATACGTAACGACCGTGTGTATTGCTGCATACATAACGACCGTGTGTATTGCTGTATACATAACGACCGTGTGTATTGCTGTATACATAACGACCGTGTGTATTGCTGTATACATAACGACCGTGTGTATTGCTGTATACATAACGACCGTTTGTATTGCTGTATACATAACGACTGCGTGTATTGCTGTATGCATAACTACCGTGTATATTGTAGTATTTAACGACCGTGTGTATTGCTGCATACATAACGACCGTGTGCATTGCTGTATATATAACGACGCTTTAGGTCTTAAAATGTTTTGAATATAAGATAATATAAGATAGGATTTAAATTTCTTATAACAAACTACATCTGCACCTTTCTTTACAGAAGAGCCCGCATCCTTATTTGGCCATGAGTTGGTTCCACAAGTTCCTGAGTTTAGCGACCAGGGCAGCTGGGAAGGATGAAGACTGGGAGTTCACTGAGGAGCCCCACACGGAGAGGAGGCGGAAGATCCTCAAGAAGTACCCTCAGATCAAACAACTTATGGGCTACGACTCCAACATCGCCTACATAACCACGGTAGAAGTACTGGTCCAGATGTTCATGTGCTGGGTTCTACAGGACGCCAACTGGTCTAGCATCCTCATTCTATCGTATTGTTTTGGAGGCGTTTTAAACCATTCCCTGGGAAGTGCTATACATGAGATTGGCCATAATCTTGCATTTGGACACAGCCGTCCGGCTCTCAATAGGATTCTCAGTATATGGTGTAATTTGCCAATGGCAGTCCCCATGGCAGTAACATACAAGAAGTATCACTCTGACCATCACCGGTACCTCGGAGAAGAGTACCAAGACGTGGACATACCCACTCGTCTCGAGAGTTATCTGTTCAGACACCCGATCACTAAGATGATATGGCTAGTATTGCATCCCATCATCCATGGGATACGGCCTTTCTACAAGAGCCCCAAACCACTAACAGGATGGGAGATGATCAATACTGCTGTTCAACTGTCGTTCGACCTCGTCATCCTGAAAGTGTTCGGCGTGAAGTCCCTCGTATACCTTCTGGCCGGAACACTAATGGCCCTAGGTCTTCATCCGCTTGCCGGGCACTTCATCTCGGAACACTATCTCTTCAACGGAGGACAGGCGACTCACTCGTACTATGGACCTCTTAACTTTGTTCTTTTTAATGTTGGTTATCATATTGAACACCATGACTTTCCTTACATTCCGTACTCTCGCTTACCGGAAGTTAAGAAGATAGCGGGCGAGTTTTATGACGATCTTCCCTACCACACGTCTTGGTGCAAGGTTGTCTGGGACTTCATCTTTAAGGACTACATGGGGCCACACGCGAGAGGAGTAGGGTATCTGAAGGATGAGAAGACCGAGGCCAAGGCCGATCAAAATGGCAGTGTCAAGGCCAATCAAAATGGCAGTGTCAAGGCCGATCAAAATGGCAGCGTCAAGATCGAGCAAAATGGTGTTTTCAAGGTTAAATCGTCATGAGATATCTTCAAATGGCAAACAACAATATTTATTTGATAACATGTCCCTGATATGGACAGTGCATGTTATATTTCATACGGTTACGTGTTTTTAGTCCAACCGTTTACGTTAGTGTTCTGAAAATAATGTTAAAGTGTTCATAGCTCAAGAATGCTATCAACAGACCGTCAATCAGGACGGTAGATTTCGGCAGACTAAAGTCAATAGTCATTTCGTTATGTGGACTGCGATACATTGTCCTCGAATATGCTTCTATCGAGGCCTTACCTAGCGGTTCGACTTCCATTGGATTGTGTAACGGCAATTATGATGTTCGTAATGTGTGTGACCACCGACCAAAGTGTCTAAACGACAAAACGTCCTGTCTTTTGTTGTTATTGTCAGAGTAAGATTGTCACTTTGTCTAGACCCTGTATTGAGCCAGTGAAAGAGATAACAGACTTATTGTACAAACACCTTGTAGTTAGGTTGACGGGTGGAATGTTGAATACTGTCCTCGCTGAGCATAAAAGCGCCATAACATTACCACAGCTGTCAGTCCGGGATGCTGTAGGAAGTAATAGTCGTTCAGCATAGACGAGGAAATCTATCCAGGCGTCCCACGGGTCAGAGATATATAAGTCGACTCGATGTGAATCAGGATTTATAACAAGCGAATAAATATTCCGTTTGGTCAATAGTACCTAACCCCCTGAGATTTACGGTTGATAAAACTGCCATTAACGTTGTACTTGATCAGAATACAACAATGGGCGTTGTCGGAGTAGGTATGCCTGCAATACTTGCACGTGCTATTTTGACTGCGTGTTGTGAATAACCGCGTCTAGGTTGATAATATATAAAGAGAAGAGTGTTGTTTCAAAATGTAAGCTGATGCATTTAACCCTTGCAATGAGCATTGCTCCTCCCAGCACCTTTCCAATGCTTTGTCATAGGTTTTGCAAACTGCAAGATGACTTCACGATAAACAGTCATAGCGATCGCCTTCCTTAACTCTGTCTGGTTCTTACGGGCATAATTAGAAACAAAGTGACAAGTAACCCCATGCCTTAATAAATGAATGTCCTGGTATGCTACGGTCTGTAAATATGTTATCACGGACAGTTTCATACGATTCAAGTTTGTGTTATGTTATTCTTTTTGTGGTATTGTGTATACATGTATATGTATTGAGAGCTATTTACACTTTAAGAAGTGTTTTACCTCATAACTGCTGTTTTGTTTGTCGTGCCTTGTTCAGTTTGTCGTGTCCAGCTAGTTTTGTTGCTTATTTATTTCTTTGTTGAATGCCACTTCATCTACGCAAATGCCCTATCACGTTTTCACAAGTCTCGACTGCTTTTTTAGTTGTCTGTGTATATAACTTATATATGTTCAATATTTTGCAATGTGTACAATTACAGTAATAGAATACATGCTGAATTAATCATATACATATGATCTATACACAGATCTCACTCAAACTAATTGCTAATTTATGATTACCTTGACTATGAAATTTAATAAATATTGTTTTCTACATCCTGTGTTATATTTTGTCCAGTAAACTAATTACAGGAAAAACACAACTGTTTATTGTTTTCCTTTTGCCTGGTTGGTTTTATAGTTTTAGGGCGTCGTGGGCCAATAAGAGGCCTATTTGCACCCATTCCTTCTGCTTTGTTTACTACAGAGTTGCCTCCCGTGCTTGTGTGTCAGCGCCACACGTTCCGGTATCACGGCAGCTGTAAAGGTTACACAACACCAAATGTTTTCCCATAGACTTCTCTAGTAACCTTTTAATGTTTTTTTAAATTATCCAGGCTATCAACAGCCATTCCAGGTACACATGGGTACAGTCAGACCCATAAACTACAATAAAACACAATTTCTGGCCAAATTGACCGGCTCATTTTCCGAGCACAGAAAGCGGAACACAACAACCCAAGTTCCGCACCAAATATCACCTACTGGAAAATATCTGTACACACAATAAGCATAAGTGATGATGATAAAAATGACAGCACTGAATTGTGGTAAGTTTTAAATACTGGATGGATGTGCTTTTAAAAGCATAAACATCTCACACTATTTCATCCAATCACAGCTGTCACATGTCTCTGTCTCTTCAGTTGTTATTTACATACGGTGCTCGCTCAGGGAGCATGTGATTCTGATTTAGTGTAGTGGAACCTAAATACTTCGTTTTTTGTTTTCACACTAAACTGATACCCTGTGATGTGAATGAAGTACGGCGGTGCTAAACTAATCTCTCTCACCCATGGACCAAACCCATTTTCATCCAGTATTTCATGTGATTAACGTCCATGCAGTCACGGACCCGTGAAGATCCGGGTTAGAATTGATCTTCAGTAACCCATGCTGGTCGTAAGAGGCGACTAACGGGATCGGGCTCGCTAACTTGGTTGACGCATGTCATCGTATCCCATTTGCGTGGATCGATACTCATGCTGTTGATCACTGGATTGTCTGGTTCAATCTCGATTATTTACAGACCGCCGCCATATAGCTGGAATATTGCTGAGAGCGGCGTAAAACTAAACTCACTCACCTATGCAGTCACCAGTAAATCACGTGTTGCTGGGAACACAGCCTATGAATTGTTCAACATACACAGATGCAAAATATTCTGTCAATGCATGTCACGTTTAAATATCATGAACTTATTTGGATAATGTGAATGCGGAAGATGAGCATTTTCCGTACATTTTAGTAAAAAACTTCGTAAGCATGATTATATGGAAGGTATCTTTATTCCATGGAGTGTGGATCTACCACGCGTTGGCAGTATTCAAGCAATATGAATGCACGCGGCATCACAGGTTTCGAACCCAGATATTCAGCATGATTTGCGAACCAGGCTACCCCACCGCCGTATTCTGAGATTGTTACCAGCGTCCGGATGCAGTTACACAGCACGGAGGTATCACGAGCTTCCAACAATATTGAAGTATTTCTGCTTAATGGAATAAATTTAATTCACAGGGTGGTCATTATTGTGACCTTAATTAAAATCTGGCCCATGAGTGAAGTTTGCTTTGTATGTTATGCCTGGAATACAGTCTGTGCCACCGCTTTACATCGTGGTGGTTGGGAAAGTGTCAGCACTTAATTAGCATCAGGCTGCAGTACTTTCCTCAACATGTGGGGCGGTGGGGTAGCCTAGTGGTTAAGGCGTTCGATCGTCACGCCGAAGGCCCGGGTTCGATTTCCCACATGGGTACAATGTGTGAAGCCCATTTCTGGTGTTCCCCGCCGTGATATTGCTGGAATATATGCCAAAAGCGGTGTAAAAAGAAACTCACTCTACGACCAATGGGTAAGTGAGATGACAAGTATGCACTTGGAGGCTTCAATACTGACGCTTGCGTTCAAGCATATTAACAATACTGACGCTTGCGTTAAGCATATCAACAATACTGACGCTTGCGTTCAAGCATATGAACACATTCTGACGCTTGCGTTAGGCGTATTAACAACACTGACGCTTGCGTTCATGCATATTAACACACACATCAATTATAGTATACCATTTGTATATATATAGATATTTATCCCCGGCTTCATTCAGTGGCTTTAATCAACAAAAGTATACATCCGTGTCCACTGCCAATAGACTGAATTAGTCAAATCTACCTGTACAAGCTTTACCTACAACACTGCAGGTACAGCTGGGTCCTATCACCTCCACTTTGTAAGACTACTGGTGATGGTACTTGCTCGTCGTTCTCGGGCCTTTTTTGTACATAGATATCTATCATATTATCACTGAGGTAATGTCCCAAGACGTTATCATCAATGGAGATGTGCAAAGACATATGCACATTATCAACGATGTAGATACAGGTTTCTGACCTTGGGAACGAGACAGAGGACAGACATGAATTCTACTTTATCAGCTGATTAATAGATAACCTGTGATATTCAACATTAAACCAATGAGTAATGGATATCATGTGATGTTCAGTATTAAACCAATGAGTAATTAATACATAGCGCGTGATATGCAGTATTAAACAAATGAGTAATACATAGCATGTGATATTCAGTATTACACCAATAAGTAATTAATACATAGCGCGTGATATGCAGTATTAAACAAATGAGTAATACATTGCATGTGATATTCAGTATTAAACCAATAAGTAATTAATACATAGCGCGTGATATGCAGTATTAAACAAATGAGTAATACATTGCATGTGATATTCAGTATTAAACCAATAAGTAATTAATACATAGCATGTGATATTCAGTATTAAACCAATGAGTAAAACATAGCATGTGATATTCAGTATTTAACCAATGAGTAAAACATAGCATGTGATATTCAGTATTAAACCAATGAGTAAAACATAGCATGTGATATTCAGTATTAAACCAATGAGTAAAACATAGCATGTGATATTCAGTATTAAACCAATGAGTAAACATAGCATGTGATATTTAGTATTAAACCAATGAATAACACATAGCATGTGATATTCAGTATTAAACCAATGAGTAATACATAGCATGTGATATTCAGTATTAAACCAATGAGTAATACATAGTATGTGATATTCAGTATTTAACCAATGAGTAAAATGTCATGTGATATTCAGTATTAAACCAATGAGTAACACATAGCATGTGATATTCAGTATTAAACCAATGAGCAATACATAGCATGTGATATTCAGTATTAAACCAATGAGTAATACATAGCATGTAATATTCAGTATTAAACCAATGAGTAATACATAGCATGTGATATTTAGTATTTAACCAACCAGTAATGCACATCATGTGATTTTCAGTATTAAGCCAATGAGTAATACATAGCATGTGGTATTCAGTATTATACCAATGGGTAATATATAGTATTTAACCAACCAGTAACACACATCATGTGATATTCAGTATTAAACAAATGAGTAATACGCAGCATGTGATATTCAGTATTAAGCCAATAAGTAATACATAGCATGTGATATTTAGTATTTAACCAACCAGTAATGCACATCATGTGATATTCAGTATTAAGCCAATGAGTAATACGCAGCATGTGATATTCAGTATTACACCAGTAAGTAATTAATACATAGCACGTGATATGCAGTATTAAACCAATGAGTAATACATAGCATGTGATATTCAGTATTAAACCAATGAGTAATACATAGTATGTGATATTCAGTATTAAGCCAATGAGTAATGCATAACCTGTGATATTCAGTATTAAACCAATGAGTAATACATAGCATGTAATATTCAGTATTAAACAAATGAGTAATACATATCCTGTGATATTCAGTATTAAACCAATGAGTAATACATATCCTGTGATATTCAGTATTAAACCAATGAGTAATACATATCCTGTGATATTCAGTATTAAACCAATGAGTAATATGTAGCATGTGATTGTCAGTATTACACCAATAAGTTATTAATACATAGCGCGTGATATGCAGTATTAAACCAATGAGTAATACATAGTAATACATAGTATGTGATATTCAGTATTAAACCAATGAGTAATACATAGCATGTAATATTCAGTATTAAACCAATGAGTAATACATAGCATGTGATATTCAGTATTAAACCAATGAGTAATACATAACCTGTGATATTCAGTATTAAACCAATGAGTAATACATAGTATGTAATATTCAGTATTAAACCAACGAGTAATACATAGCATGTAATATTCAGTATTAAACCAATGAGTAATACATAGCATGTGATATTCAGTATTAAACCAATGAGTAATACATATCCTGTGATATTCAGTATTAAACCAATGAGTAATACATAGCATGTAATATTCAGTATTAAACCAATGAGTAATACATAGCATGTGATATTCAGTATTAAACCAATGAGTAATACATAACCTGTAATATTCAGTATTAAACCAATGAGTAATACATAGCCTGTAATATTCAGTATTAAACCAATGAGTAATACATAGCATGTAATATTCAGTATTAAACCAATGAGTAATACATAGCATGTAATATTCAGTATTAAACCAACGAGTAATACATAGCATGTAATATTCAGTATTAAACCAATGAGTAATACATAGCATGTAATATTCAGTATTAAACCAATGAGTAATACATAGCATGTGATATGCAGTATTAAGCCAATGAGTAATACATAGTATGTGATATTCAGTATTAAACCAATGAGTAATACATAACCTGTGATATTCAGTATTAAACAAATGAGTAATACATAGCATGTAATATTCAGTATTAAACAAATGAGTAATACATATCATGTGATATTCAGAATTAAACCAAAGAGTAACACATAGCACGTAATATTTAGTATTAAAGCAATGACTAATACATAGCATGTAATATTCAGTATTAAACCAATGAGTAATACATAGCATGTGATATTCAGTATTAAACCAATGAGTAATACATAGCATGTGATATGCAGTATTAAGCCAATGAGTAATACATAGTATGTGATATTCAGTATTAAACCAATGAGTAATATATAGTATTTAACCAACCA